GGGGGAAATTCCCACACTCAAAGAATAGGATATAATTTTCTATTATTACTACTCCCTCCCATCTCAGAAAATTGGCGAGATGTATAAATATTTTAAGTCATGCATCTGATTATTTTATGGTCCTTTTCTATACCAGATACTCTATCCACACATCCATGCAGGATTAGTAGTGGCCCAGTTAGAAATATGGATAATACAATATTAAACATGCTGTGACAACAGATCTTACAAGGCAAGATCCCAAACTGTATTTTCCAATTACCAAATTATCATACCAGTCGGCATTTTTTTGGTATTTTTGGGAAGGGGGATGGGAGTTTTGTTGTTTGTTTTTTTTAAAGTAATTTCCACATTCCTGGCAGCTCTTTCTCTCTGAAAATTTTTAAGAGATCAAAGAAAAAAGTTTTCAAGAAACAGTACTCTCTTTCTTTAATGTGACTGCAAAAAACCCTATTAAAAAGGTTACAGAAAATTTTTCAAGCTATCAAAAAAGGACAAGAACAACTGTGTAGTCTCATCATTAGTATCATAATTCCACAGGTCAAAAAGGCACACATTTATAGGAAAATATTTCACTTACCCACTTTGCTATATCATCAATAAATAAATCTGCCTGATACGCAACATTTTATCCCTTTTAACAATATTAAACTAAAACTGCAAATTTAAAAGTTCAGTAATTTGATTGGAAAGAAACAACTGTATTACTTAAGAAAAAAAGTTTATCCTATAGAAGAATCAAAATACTATCTGAAATATTAACTGAAAAGAACAAACCTATTTCAAAACTAACCTGTTGTTCCACTTCACAAATGTTTTGAGGAAGAAAAAACAAAGTACAGCAAAAAAGAAAAATAAAAGCCATCTTGCTAATTTCATATCACTTACCCAGCAAGAGATCTAAAGGTATCATCTCTTTCACAGCATCAAGGATTCCTCTTTGCCTTGCCTCCTGGCCGTCCAGTTCTCTAGCACACGCCTTGCAGCAGCCACATACAGCGCAGCCCGACTCACCTGAGCCACAGCCACAGATTCTGCAGCAAACAGAGTTGCTTTATCACTACCTTTTGTTTTCGTGCATTACTGATGCCTTGGTAATTAAAACACACATCATTAGTTTGTTCTGTCTATGGATAGGTAATATTTCCTGACATTAACAGAAAGTGTAGCTAATTTAAATCCTAGGTGCTGTTGTGTGGTGCCAGGGAGCACACACTGACCGTACTTATCTGAACTGACTTCTCAGCACCAACTTTTCTTCATTTAATTAAACACATACCCCATGAAAACACCAACAAGGAAACACTGAGCACACGCAACGCTGGAGAAATAGTAATGGCAATAGGTAAAGCAGTGACCCTTTATTCAGGTCAACTCTGAAGTAACAGATAAAAGCAACTGGAACAACAAGATAAAAAACATCTATCGTAGGACGAATAAAGATATCCCAAATCCATCAGCTCTGTCAAGAGACAGATTATGTTAGTGTTCATATTCAACAGCTTCTAGTAAAGAACTATATGCTAAGAAATGTAAAAAAAAAAAAACCAAAAAAACAAACCAAAACCATTTCAAACTAAATCACCTGCAGCCATCACAAGGTGTTTACTAAAATGTTAACATACTTCTGATTTTAAAAGCACAGGCACCTTTTACATATAATGTTACCTTAGCCTGAAGTTTAAGAACAGATCAACCCAATTCACATTCAACACATGCTTTCACCATTCAACACCCTATAACAAGCCTATTTCCATACGTTTGCTTACCCTCCAGGTACTCTGTCAGGACGCCCACTGCTAACACAGCTAGCTCCATACCCTGTGCAATCTCCACATACAGTGCACACCATACACTGCTCCAGCTTCCATTTATGCATGCCTGGAGGACACATCATGGACTTCTCATCTTTTTCATCCAGTTCCTCTTCTAGGTCTTCATCCATTGCTGTTGCCATGTTCTCAACTCCAAAACCTAATGAAGATATTGAAAAAAGAAATAGCTGTTTTCTGAGGCCAATTAGTGGCTACTAAGGAAGTCCTGAAGAACACTCAAATGACTAGGCATGCCTGATTTGCACACTCATCCAGCACAATGACACTTTGGAAACCTCTCTCAGCATGGGCTGGGGCACATGGGTTGTAACTCATTCATCTTTAAGGTCCCTTCCAACCCAAACTGTTCTATGATTCTATATATCTAGGTCTCATAACTGAAAAGGAAATTAAACATTTCTATTCGTTATACAAGTAACAGGTCATTTACTTGTCACAAATAAAATACTCCGGTCCAGCAAAGGTGAACAAGTATGATTTTTCATACCTATTATTTAGGAGTAATGGAAATGTTCGGTTACGTGGAGAAAGAGGTGGATTTACATTCATGCCCTGTTTAGGCAAACAACAGCCTCAAGACCGAATGCAAATAATGAAACGTAGAAAAAATTTTCTTGCTAGGACAATGGCATGTAGTAAGACAAGGAGTAATGAGGTTTGGGTTTATTCATTTGTTTTAAAGAAAAACTTTTTCTCTGACCGAAGTAACTGAGATATTTATTTTCTTAACATAACTAAGCTTATTAGTATGTGCAGAACACCAAATACCTGACAGGTGAAGTGAAAGTACCCATACCTGGGGTTTTTTTAAGCGTGTTGCATGTACTTAAGCTTTAGTTTTGGAATTATATTTTATAATAAAATGCTTCACTATGTTTTTACTTGTGATATCTTCCAGCACGCAAAACGAAAGGCAAAAAAAAAAATACCTAAGTCCCTCACCTTTTCCTCCCTGGCTCATGGAGCCTGTGTCTCGTCCACACTGTCCTTTATTATTTACACCAAACGTCCAAACTTCTCCGTTCTTCATTAACACACAGGTGTGAGCTTTGCCCATGGCTACCTGAGTCACAAAATGGCCTTTCAAATCTGTTACTAAACCTGCAAGACATAAAACAGTTGAGTGGCAAATTGCACTTTCTACCTGAGAAGGAAACTTCAGTGATATAACAAAATTGCTTGTGGATACTGACAATTTTTACATTAACAGTAAGGGAGAAAAGCAGCAGGTATAGAAAACAAGTGTTAGAATGAGGAGTGAAAGCAGAATTAGGTCTAGGCCACCCCTCCTGCAAAGAAAGGAAAGCCAAAACCAAACCAAATCCTGCTGCAAATCACTTGTTCTGAAAAACAATTATAAAGTAGTCATAACGTCATTGGAGGTTTTGGGTTTTTTTTTAGTATTTTATTTAAATTGAGATGTACTGAATCATCTGCAAATTCAAAACAGGCTGCCTTGTGAGCAGAGAAACGTATAAGGGCCAGTTTCTTGCAGCCTTTGCTATTAATAAAGCATTTCTTATTTCTGTGACTTGTCCCTGTGTGGTTGTCTAGTGTCAGATTAATTCAACAAATTATTTATTTTTTTTTCCCCTTTAGCGGAAGTATTAATTCAGGTATTTGTAACCAGTCCTGCTATATATTTTTTACAGAACTTAAGGAAACTGTTTTCTCTTTCGATCCTTCTGTCATATTTGGCTGAATCAGCAGAAATTCAGAAATCTATTAGGAGAATAAAAAACACACAAACATCATTTCCAAATGCTAACAACTTCCAGACTGATTTCAATTACTCTAGTTGAGAAATCACTCAAAAGACAAATATTTAACTTACTTGTACTATCAGAGTAAATGGCATCTTTTCCAAACATGTAGAGTTCTCCATCTTTCGAAATTACAGAACTGCTTCCATTATTGCACGCTGTAGATATGACAATCTTGCCTTCCAATTTAATAATTTTTTTAGGCTTATATGGTTTTGACTGCCGTCTACTTTTAGCTTTAAATAAATAAATAAATAAGTTGCAAATAATTCTACCAAAAACCTTCAAATACACAATAACATTTGTTTTATAATTAGGGGTCAGTTTTCGGACTGCTTCTTAAAAAAAATAAAAATATAAAAATTCATCCATATGATCTCGTGGTCTAATTTTTATTGGATTACACTGGATTCTCTCAAAAAACCTACCCAGAAGCTGTCGTTTGCAATCTGGCCTCAAAGAAAAGGGTACCAACATAGCTAGAGACTGGCTAAACCAACCAACAGCTACTGTTACTACCTGCAAATTTTCCCCCAAGTCACAGAACTGCCAGCTTCTTTCACTTGTCGATAATTACCAGCTTTCTACAGAGAAGACACACAGACACCTTGTTGACAGAAAACTAGCCTCCCTGCCCAGGTTTAAAAGAAATCAGGGGGAAAAAAAACTTGTATACATTCACTCTGAGCCAAATTAGAGAGTAACAAAGGGAACCAAACGAGTTAGAAGAAGCCATCCAGACTTTTACACAGGAGTACAACTATTAACTTCCTCTCACATGAACATATTCAAGAATCCACTCCATAAGCACTATCAAACTTTAAAATACGTTCTTGCCTTTATTTTTGCTATATTACATGGGAAAACCCACACTTTCTTGGCGAATACTCTCAGTGTAGTTAATCTTTCATGGGAACAATAAGGTAAATATCCTTTGCTTCTGCATGAGTTCCACCATGCCTCACATAATCAGCCCACTAAGTTCTTGTTGACAACATTCTAGAAATGCTAAATTCTTACACAGTTGACTGAGACATAGCTGGACTCTATTACTGCTGTTTATTGAGATTTTTAAATCTATTTTTAAATTATATTTTAAATCAATTATTAAATTCTAAGCATCTACTACCTATAGACTTGAATTTTATACTAACACTTGAATGTTGTTTATCATATTTCTAGCTGACTGCACTGAAGCAGAAAAAATTCAGTCTTACCCAAACTGTTTAAGTTCTATGGCTAGCAGACCAAACTTTTCCACAAACTTGCTTTGTGAGAAATACATTAATTTTAATGGTAACATCGACCTACACTATTAAAACAGAACACTATTGAGATTAATTTGACTTTAAATTAGGCTTCAATACTATTATGAAAATGCTATCTGGGATATACATTATATTATCCTATTAAAAAGTACACATCATAAGGCTGACAACTCTAAAGTTATCAGCTTTAAGATCTTCAGGAGCTAGTTATTTATCAAAACACATTCGTTACCTTTTTTTTAAATTAATCTAACACACCATAACACAACAGTCTGTTACCTAAAGTGAAGTATATCATTAAATATCACAGCAGATCACAGCTTTTTTAGCTTTAGCCAGCTTTCATTGTCTTATAAAGCGTATTTCAACCTAAACACACAACTTTAGAGATGCAAACTAGGAAATCTGTTAATTTTATATTGAAAAGGTATGTGTTAGTCTGAAGATCAAATTAATCTGTCGTCTTTAATGTCTGAAGAGTTGTGCTTGATCAAGCACAGAGGACTGTGCTTCTACAATTTCTAACCAATGTACGTCTCCATTACAGAGGGGCTTTTGCTGGCAAAAGACCCATTTCCAAAGTTCTCTAAAACAACAGTTAAGAGGCAAAAGTTTGGCTCTTCATTTTTTCAGCCAAAGTCCAAGGCAGGCAGCATGGCCTCTTGACTTATGACTGTCCTTTCTCACAACAACTGTAAAGAAGTGCTCACACCACACAATCTAAACTGTGCTAAACCTGAGATGAACATCTCTAGCTGGGAGAGGCAGTGGCACTGGTTGTCAGGACCTGTGGCTGCTGTAAAACTCAAACCCAATGGCATGCTTACACATTCTTGGAAAAGGTTAAACCCCTTCTTTTCAAATTAAAAGGTGGTTAATATGCTTTTATCAACTATTGATCAAGCAAGTGCAATACGTACTTGATTCACCATCCTCTCCTTTACTAGCAGAACCTGTGAAGAATATGCTTCCATCTTCAGCAACGAGTAAGGCATGTGAGCCATCATGTCCAACAGAGAACTGAATAATCTTTGGAGATTTTGTGATTGGGAGTTCAACCCATTTTCCTGCTGAAGGACCACCTTGTTTGATTCCGAGGCTCTGATATTTGCCAGTATAATAAATCTAGAAGAAAACAGTTTATCATTTTCAGTTATGCCATAGCACTTTAAACTTGCTTCCCCTGTCTGTGCTCCCTTGCAGCTTCTATGGGAAAGTCCTTGACTAATGTAAACATCACTTAGCAACAACTAAAACAATATGTGTTATCAACACTCTTCTCATACTATATCCAAAACAAAGCAGCTATAGAATGAAAATTAACTCTATCCCAGCTGAAACAAGGACATGGGGGAAAGATTCTGATTAGATTCTGCTTGTTTTGAAATGTGCTTTCTTCTGTGCCAGTTAGTTTTCATATTTAATTGTTTGGTTAGATTAGTAGAACACACAAGAAAGAACTGTTCTGAAGAAACTATTTAGAGGAAATGAAGCATTTAAAGCACTTAAGAAAAATGTCTGGTCTGTGTAAAAAAAAAGATGATATTATAACAATAAAAATAATTAAAAATACCAAATTACTAAAAATTGTAATATGCTTCAACACATTTTTGAAATTTATTTTCAGTAAATACATAGCAAACACTGCATACATAAACAGTAACACAGACTAAAATATTTCACATGAACAAATACAAAACTACTGACATGGATTAAAAAGTTTTCTCTAGAACCGCGCTGCTCAACAGTACTATAAAATGGGTGTATTAACCTATTTGGGCACCTAAAGCCATCTTTAATTGTCTTATAAAGTATATTTCATAACTAAACACACAACTTTCTAGAGATTCAAACTAGGAAATTTGTTAATTCTACATTGAAGAGGCATTTGTTAGTCTGAAGATCGATTTAATCTGTCTCCTCCAATGTCTGAAGAGCTCTGCTTAATCAAATTGTGTTTCATACTACTTAATTTTATTAGGAAAAAACAGTTAAGTTTGATGAAAGTGTTCATAATAATCTCACTGTTTTGATAGAAACAGAGCAAGGCGTTCGTTCCAGTAAAGCGACACAATTCTGAATGCAGGGAAACAAAGAAATATGCTTATACAAGTAAAACAACATTAGTTTCCCAAACTTAAACACAGGAAATAATATAAAAAGCCATAGTGCCAGTAAGCAAAATTATGTCTAAGTTGCAGTGAGTATGCAAATACCTCTGAAAAACAGTCTCCACTTGAGCAGAACCAATCAAATCATTAAGAACAGGTTTAAAGAAATCAATTGAAAACTTTGCATAGGGGAAGACAGTAATTCTCCAAAGGATCAGAAAAAAAATCACAATGGGATTTAAATAAATGACTATGGTCATACTGTTTATGGAAAGTTATGAGGTAAAAAATTTGGGAAATTTTGTGGAATTTGTAGACAAAAGGTAATTTTGTCCCCCAACTCTAGAAAGACCCATGCTGTCTCTAAGATTGACTGTAGAAGTTCCTATAAATTCAAGCAACTGATTTCTCAATGGTTCCAACACCACCTCTTTCTGTTTTCAAATAACCATTTGCCTTTTTCCCCTTTAAAGTGGGCTCTGAGAAGATATTTAAATACGGTCATATAAATTTTCATTCCAACACGCTAAAAAGGCACAAAGGAATTGTGAAAAATAATAATTAATTTTTTTAAAAAAAAGAAAGTAGAAATAAACAGATGCAATTTGCTATTTACAAGAGAACATTTTTCGGTACCTTGCCACTGGCAGTTTTCATTAGTGCAAACTCTCTTCCAGCACCAAGAACAGCCGATTCCTCGTCAAACCCTGTACCTGCACGAGGAAGACTTCATTAACACCACAGCTGAACCAGGCACCTCCACACCCCAGTTGAACCAGGCAGTTCCACAGCCCAGTTTACGGACCTAGTTCTACCAGGGAGAGTTTTTTTCATTAAAAAGGTTCTGAGAAAGTTACAACAGGACAACAAAAGCTTTGCTGCCACACGAAGGTTTACTGGGCTACACCTGGCAGAGTTATTCAAAGAGGACAAAAACACTAATGTAAGAGCAACTGCACTTGGTCAGACAAGAGGTCCCAAACATGCTTTTGTTCCAATAGTGCCAAAAGCAGACACCTATCAGAGAAAAATACCCAAAACAAAACCCAAGTCCTATTTCTCCAAAACACCTTCATAGACACCAACGATTCTGCATCTCAAATTCTGATGCAAAGGTGGTTTCCACGTACTTAGAATCGTTCACTGCATTTCTTTTGTGTTAGCCCAGCCAGTGGCCGTTTTAACTTTTGTTAACTGACTCACAGAAAGGAGTTCTATAGCTTAACTATGTGTTATATGAGCACTATTATGAAGTCCAAGCTTCATATATTTATTATACATTTATTATACAACTAGAGGACAACACCGGAAAACCACAGACAGTGCTGTAGACAGAAAGGTTATTCAAAATGAATGCATGCATTACTATGAGTCAAATAACACTTAAGCAGTTTCAAAACCCTCATACTTTTCCATGTGTTTATAATGGATCTATACCATTCTGCACATAATAAAGGCAAACAAAGGGAAGAGCAGTGTCTCAGTTTTATTATTTGAATTGCTAGTTTTGTTATTAACCTTCACAGAAGACGACTTACTGATAATGTGCAAGTCTTTCTCCAGATCAAACAATGAGATGCCACAGGCATGTAAGCATTTTCGTGCAAGCTTAAGCTGCAATTCCTGTTGCAGTACTGGCTCAGTACTTGTTGCAAATATTCGCACTACAAAGCCATCCTGTAATAAAAAAAAATAATATATCTACTTCACACTGCATAATAATACATTAGTTACACCTAGGCCATGAAAAGTATCAGTATAATACTATTTCTGAGTAAATTAGCAAAGGATATATTCATAAATTAAAATGTTACAGAAGAGAAAATAAGAAAGTGCCAAAAAGTATGAGCTGAGGATAAGCATCTGAATGACCATAAATATATATAAATATATATTGAGTGAAAACACTACAAACATTAGGAAAACAGTGGATTGTTATAGAAATAATGAACTCTGAATCTTACTGCAGAAATCTTGCTTTTTTAACAATTTACATCTTATACGCCCTCAACTTCTGCTGATTCAGAACCCAAAATTACTGCATGCAGTTTAAGAGTGACAGCTTTAAAGAGTAGCTAAAACAGGATTCTGTTTACAAATGCAACTGAAGTATCTTCATCTGGCCGTGTTAAAAAAAAAGTTGTTCCGTTAGTAGGGAAATTGATCAATCCTGATTTTCTTACAGTTGTATGTCTGTCATGTCTTATGAGTCCTGTCTTACCCCACCCTTGCCCCATCCCTGTTTTACATCTTTCTCACTGTCAAAAAAAATGATCAGTCCAGAATTAAAATGTATTAACTGTCTGCAGAACACAACATAGAACAGTTGTAACTGTTTTGCCCCTAACAGAAGCACTTATTTGGGTTTCCACAGCTTTGGCCAAGAGGCAATTTTCATATAAAAAAATCTATTGGAATGTAGTATCTTTCATACCTCTTTTATTAAATCTGGTGGAAATTCCCCAACAAGTACCAAAGCAATTACAGGAAATTAAATTAGAAAAAAAAATTATAATTAAGCTCTAAGAAGCTTATCCCACAGAGACCCTGTAGAACAACATGTTAAAAAGCCATTATTCCATGCATAAGATTTTTTCCTCAGAACAAACAGCTAAGTTTTTTCTTAAAACTTAACTGAAAAATCCATCACAAATCAAAGTTGTGTGGATAAATACCAAAATACTGCTCCTTTATGTACAAATAGAGCAGTTCCTCATTATCTCTAGTTGCATGGATTTCTTCCTTAGTTGTGTTAGCAAAGAAAAAGCCAAAAAATTAAGCAAAAAGGAAGTTGTAAGTATTGTAAAATAAAACAATTCAGTTGGGAGAAAAATAGTTTATCCATCATACATAACACTTACATCTCTAGATGCTGCTATTTGATTAATATATTCTCCATCAGTGAAAAGGATATTCTGCCCTTCAGTATGACAATCTGTGAAAGATGAAGTACACTGCATCAGTTTATATTAACATACATACACTGTTCCCTGCTTATCTAATTAATTCTCACTACAACCAGTTCTAGTTTGTCTCGAGAGAGATTATACTGTTTTGATGACATGTTATGTTATGCTAGGATCTCCTCTCTCACCAAAATCATATGATACTCCTTTGTGCCTTGAAGAGTTATTAAAGCACTTTCCGTTCTATGAAATGTAAGGGTTTACCCCAATGTTTAACTGCAAAAGCATTTAATATTCACCTGTGAGGAGTAAACTATTATAACACAACTAAATTCTTATTTTCTAGGAATGTTAATTTTTCTCCTTCCTCAAAGACTTTTCTTAAAAAAACAAAACAAAAAAAGGAGCGCCACTACCTTTAAAGAAAAGTCCAGCATATAAAACCTACAGAAATAAATGAAACAGAATCAAACTTTTCATTATTTATCTCATTTTTCCATTGTTTATAAATTTCACCAAACTGTTAACTGAAAATCTAGGGGGTTTGGAAAACTCTAAACCATATACTTGAATGTATCACCCATTTATTGAAAACAGCGCAGCTATTTCCAAGAAAAAAAAAAAAGGCAGTGAAACAATTCTGCCCATATAAGGAAAAAAAGACGACAATCACTTTCTCTACAAGTTTAAAAGTATGTACCTATCCACCTCTTCTTCCCTTCCTGCTCTGATCATGGAACTACTAACAGAGAGAATGATATTATGTGGCTTGAAAGGTGCTTGCTCCATTGATTATACACAAGAAAGAGACCTGTTCCAAAAATACTACAGGACAGTTACTTCACACTAAGTATCTGCTTCATAACCTGAACAAAGACCTAGTATCAGCCACCTTATCTAACAAATTTAATGCTAAATGAAGCACACACAATACCCTTCTAGCATAACCAGCAAGTTTTCTATTTTTTGCTAGCTAGATGGAGTGTTTTATTAAAAATAATAGGGCAGAAAAAAACCCACAGTATTCACAAATCCATAAACTGGTTTACTTTTTCCTACTACACTGCCTAGTCCAATACAGTATCTCACCAGGAACAGAAGAAGCATTAGGTGGCCTTTTCTAATTCTCACATCCTGAAGTAACAGACCTACAGCAAACAACCTCCCCCTTAGAGCAGACACAGTTAAGAATCACAAAGAGGGTAAAAGCAGGAAGCAGAATGGAGAAGGGCAGATAAACTGAAGTTTGAAATACTGCACTCTCAAAAATAATCTCAGATTTAATGACCAAAGTCGAGTTCGTGTCACTAATTCTCTTGCTACAAAGTGATACTAGTGATAAAACAAAAGACTTGTCAATAACTTGAAGAGAAGGTCCAAAAATTACCTAAATTACATTTCTGAAAGGTTACAGGAAGTTGTTAAGTATTAAGATCCCCTGAATGCTCACATAAGCGTAACAGTCAAGGAAACAGGGTATTCTGGCCACCAGTGGGTCCATATTACATTGTTCGGCCAATTCCTTGAGTAATTTCAAGAAGAGGTGAGCCTCCCAATTAACATTTTTAGGGTTGCTTCTATGTTTGATAGGTCTGTTCACAGAGGAAATCTAGAACAGGAATGGTTTCCTTTTTTTAAAATATACGTTCTTCAAAGTTCTTCCTAAAAACTAGCACTTGATTAGATAACATCCAGGCACAGCATTAAATACCAAATTAACAGGGAGAGTAGAAAATGGAGTATCTACAAAAAGTAAGATAGTCTCAGCTAGCAAGCAGCTCTTATGATCACAGAATCATAGAATAGTTTGGGTTGGAAGGGACCTTAAAGATCATCGAGTTCCAACCCCCCTGCCATGGGCAGGGACACCTCCCACTAGAGAAGGTTGCCCAAAGCCCCATCCAGCCTGGCCTTGAACACCTCCAGGGATGGGGCATCCACAGCTTCTCTGGGCTGTTCAGTGTCTCACCACCCTCGCAGTAAAGAATTTCTTTCTAGTATCTAATCTCAATCTCCCCTCTTCCAGTTTAAAACCATTACCCCTTGTCCTGTCACTACACTTCCTGACAAAGAGTCCCTCCCCACCTTTCCTGTAGGCCACCTTCAGGTACTGGATCAAGTGCAATCTTATTCATCCTGACTTTGGAAAATTACTCTGTGAACAAAGATATCCAAGACTCCTGTCTAGAAATTACTATAACAGAAAAGGCTTATGTTTTACTTAACTAAACTACAAACACCTGTTAATCACAGCCTCCTTAGAGAATTCAAAGGAAGATGACTGTCAAGCATCGCCTTCTGAATTTCTACAGTGAAACCTATGCCTGCTAATCAGTACTCTTGAGCTCATCCAGGCTACCCTCAGTTAGCAATACTTTTCAGGCTAAGGCAATAGTCCTGATCTCCAAGATATACAGGTGTCATTTCAAACAACCACATACCGCATAACTTCAACCACTTCTGTTGAACATAGCAACCTATTTTTGAGGTATGCAGTAAGTACTACTGTGAAAGAAACAGTCAAGATGAAGATCGCCTCTGTAAATTCAGGTCCAATCACCTAGAAAATCTCATAGAACTCAGGGATTCTTTTTAGACTGGGAAGACAGATCCACAGCTCAAGGACAGCCTATAAAGCCTAGCAAAGGCATTGGATACAAGAAAGTTGACACACAATCTGGTAGTTCCAGACACATTGTCAGATTTGCTGGATCATCTATCAGGAAGGAAAGATTGCCCTTTGAAATACACATTTACAGTTTCAAGAAGCTGGTGGATCCTAGCGTCTGAGAAAGGAGAAGATAATCTTCCACAGTCCACTGAGTTTTCTAAGGACATGTGACTTCTAGCTAGGATCAGCTCCTAATCACATCTCCTAATGAACTCCTAATCTCCTACATATCTCTGTAGGAATAAATACGAATGCCTTATTTAAATGCATTATCACCAACCCAGGCATTTGAAAGAGATTAACTCCAGAGAGAGCCACGTCTGAATACCATACCAACCAGGAGGAAATAGCTGGAGTCACATCAGTATTCAGCTGTTTGCAAGGTTACTGCCCTCTAGCTCTATCCGGTGTGGTTTTTCAGAACTTCAACATGTTGCAAGTGATTATTAAGATTACAGTAGGGCAGCCACTACTATGTAGAGTTATGTACCTACTCAGGTTTCCTCATGACAGGTCACACGCCCTGCCCCCGCTTTAATTTCTTTCCTTCTAATGAGAAATGGAAAGAACAAGAAGTGAACCCCTTTGAATTTGTCCTAGACAAAGGGCGTATCTGCTCACAATGTAACACTGAGATAAGTGTGTAGAAGTGCAGAAAGTAAACCAGCAAAGTTCAAGGGTTGAAATACGAAATATTATGAAGAACATGTAGTACCCGCTTTGACACCAGCACAAACTGTATGAAATGCATCTGTGTGAAACAGTTTTGAGGGATTTTTGAATAGGTATTCCCACAGATAATAAGATTTGCTTTTGCACTGCAAAATGAATATATTTTTTGTTTAGAAGTCATACACTTGTTTAATCTGTGCCTTTTTATAGTAGAAACACAAGGCTGTCTTGCAGAATGACACTTGTCACTGAAATTTGCAAAAGAAAACTAACAGCTCAGAGGTGTAGACTTTAAATATGCCTGAGTGTCTCTCAAGACTTGCATGCAGAGCACTGATTTGTTTACTAATGGCAACATAATTAAGGGCCTCAAAGGACCCTACTGGTTGAAGAAGCTGCCTGGAGGTGAGTAAAGTGGAAAAACAATCCTACCAGGCGATTTGTCAAGTCCTTGCACGTGCTCTCACTCACATTTCTCATACAGCCCCACAAGGACCAAGCAGCTTAAACAGACGCCCATATTTAAAGGGCTTGCAGAAAGCTGCATAGACTAGATTCTACATTCATAGTTTGTTTCAAAAATAAATGTTTGTGTTTGAAACTAAAAAAGCCTAGAGAATTTTTCTGAGGGTTCAGTCAGTGCCTACTTATTTATGTCAGGATGCAACACAAAATCTTTCTTCTGACCTATAGAATAAGCCTATCATTGTTTGATCAAAAGATATTCTTCTGTTTACACAAGCAGCTAAGAATAGATGTGTTTCACCAGGAGGCCATTTAAGTATGTTCCAGAAACATCTTAATTTTCTAGAGACCGAAACTATGAGGCTCCTCTGTGAAAAACCTAAATAAAAAAAAAAAACTACAAAAAAAATCCCAAAAGAAATAAACAAAAAACCACCACCAATGTAAACATCAGAAGCATAGTCCATCAGTGGTCATTAGCCTCCTTTGTTTTTTGGGTACACCTGTATCTATATTAAAAACCAAATGGTTTTGGTCATAGTTTGTAACTACCTACATGTAGGAGACACTAGAAACAAAGTCCTATCTGAGCCAAATGTTCAAAGTTCAAAAGAAAAAAAAAATGTCTTTAAGAAGGAAGTTAAGCTCTTGGAATCTTTAAATTAAGGTCACCATAAATTCTAAAATGTTGCAATATTACTCCAGTAGTTGAAGTGAGATGCGAGATCCCTGAGTGAAATAGTGCAGCTGCCCTAATGCAGCAAACCCAAGTCATAAAAGAGCAGCCTCTTTGTGATCTCGAAATCTGCCTCAATTTCTCTTCTGCTTACCTGAAAATACATAGCATGTAAACAGTAAACTATAACCATCTTCTCATATCTGGAGGTTCATACCTGGCAAGGCAACTGTACCGTCTTGTTCCAAAGTTTCAGGGTTTATTCTTATGGCTGTCATACTGTGATTATTCGCATCTCTATATAATAAATAACCCTGGTAAAGGAAGAATATATATATACAGGTATGAATGTATTCCTAAATACATGAAAGGATATTGCCAAAAGTGAAAAAAAAAATGCAATCACTATTTTAGGCATTGTTTAAAAAAATTGAAACCTTATACATCAAATTGGCTTAATTTTCATAATCAACTTTTTTCTACTAAAAAAAATTCTGCAATAAAAACCAGAAATTTAACCCCTTTCTTCCACACTTTCGACATGCTGTAGATCAGCATGCTGAAGCTCATATACAGCTTTTAAAGCCACATGTAGTCATTCTGTTCTACATATATGTATAAAATTACAGTTAAAAGCCACAGCAAAACCAATGTTCCTGTCCCCAAATCAACAAAAGATTCACAGGATTTTCAGGAAGGAGATGCATATATTGCCCTATAGAAGAGTTATAATTAATAAATAATATGTGCATTAGGAAATTTTTCAAAAAAGTTAATTAATTAGCTTGACTCCCACTCTAACGAGATTCCATGTATTTATTCTTTCTGAGCTCTTCATCAAAGAAATTCCCACACATATAGAAGAGTTATAATTAATAAATAATATGTGCATTAGGAAATTTTTCAAAAAAGTTAATTAATTAGCTTGACTCCCACTCTAACGAGATTCCATGTATTTATTCTTTCTGAAGTACCTGGTAATTTTGGTGACAGCAGCCATGACACAAGGTTACATACAAGCAGTTCTTATACTGCCCACCTCCCTATGCATAACCAGATCTAGAGTAAGGGAGATATTCAGGGCTAATGTTTTCCTCTTTCTGTTCTCCATGTGCAGAATACATTCATTTCTCTGAAATCACCTATTCTGGTCAGCAGCCCACATCAAGAAGTCTCCCTTTGGTATACCAAAATAATATCTTCTCTCTGGTTTTATGTATTTTTTTTTTTAAAGTTTTGGTTCAGTCACCAGTTTAGAAGGCTTCTCAGTAAAAAGATTTGCCTACCTGAAACTCACATTTAAGGTTTATCGTTTACACTTGTAATTTTGAGTGCACTTTTAAACAAACACAGTCAAGTAACTTTTGCTTTAGCTTAAACCAGATAGGTTGCATAAGCCCCCGCATTTCCATCACGTGCACAGGTCCATAAGAGAGGCAATACGGCAACTGCGCTCTTGCATCTTTTTCTATCCTACAATGCCTGTGAATCCTTCAAAGATTTTTGAGGGAGCAGAGTAGAAACACAGTTATGGAATTTACACTTCAAAAGCACTTCTGCTAAAAAGCAGCTACAGGAAAGGAAAAAAGATTACTTAAGGGCACTCAAGAACATATTCAAGGTGACTGAGGCCAAGGAAAGTAGCATTCACTGACAGGGGGGTTGCAGAGGCCGGTATGAATAATGACTAAGTAATGAATGACCACACAATGTCATAGCAGGAGATATGACACTGGGGTGCGCTTGCTTGAACCGTGACTGGCCTCAGATGGGCATTCTGCACGTCTAAGAATGGATGCATTTCACAGGGAGGACACTAAGGCTTAACCTCGGAGCATCTCCATTTGTCAAAGAGTCAGAGACTCTAATTACAACCATCTAACAACAACAGAAAAATCCAACCAACCCTTTTCCTTCCATCTAAACTACTTGAATTTTCCTGGATGAATCAATCTGTGAAATGAGGAAAAACAAACCTACACAAACTAGGAAAAGTAAAGAGCGTTAAACCAGATAGAAAAGTTTCAGTCTAGAATAACATGCACAATAAAGTAAGAAAAATCACTTGAATTTAAGCTGATTTAATCAAGCACGTGAAGGGAAATGAGACTGAGGGCACATCTTACCTCTTCTACAGACATATACATAGCAGTAAGTGCAACTCACGTATCTGCCTATAAATACAGCCTGAGTGACATTTTTCCCAAAAAAAGTGCCTTTGGGTACAGTCACTACGTGAGTGCATATACCTGTACAAGCACTCAAAGAAGAATATCAGATCTATTTATAGCTATGTACAGAATGTCCAAATGTGTGACTCTATATCGTGAAACCGTATGGATCCTATTCCTTTCCAAACTGATAAAACAGGCCCCTGAATGAGTGCTCCACATAGCAAACAAAACCAGATTTCATATAGATATAAAAAAATTGCACTAATAATAGGATATATATTTGTAATTAACAATTTCACTTCAAAAGCATGACAAAGAATACACTAAATTTCACACTGGGACAATGAGATCACTTATTCAATAGTAAATATACAATAAAAATTGCTCAGTAGTTAAAAAATGAAGCAAATTAACTGTTCTCTGATATTTGATTTTTCAGTTTGTATTGGATTTTTTTTTGTTTTTTTGAGAAAGAGTGCCCTCAGTGATAATAACAGGATTCTAAAAAAAACACACTATTTTTATAATGAATGGCAAAGGTATAAGAAAAGGTGGTTGATATTCCAGCTAACGTTAAAAAAACCTATCCAAATATAGTTAACTTTACAGTGGTAATGTCAACAATTGACTGTACAATTCATAAATTTATGTGTTAAACCACCATATTTATGAATTGTGCAGTCAACTGATGGGTGCTTCTTAAAGTCTTTACAGTGACAACACAGATCAATGACACTCTTCATTACTCCTTTCTGTATGCCAGTACCATCATCACACGTCCCTCATCTTCCACAATTTAGAAGTCAGTACCAAAAAATTGATTTTTATAACTGAAGCCAAAGGAACGATATAATATCCATGTAAGCTTACTCTATGCCAAAGTCTACTTAAATTACTCATGAGGGATGAGGGGTGGGGTGTGTATTTTATGCTTTAATTATTCACCTACCTGAGCATAGCCTAACCAAGACTTTTTTTCCTTTCTGTTTTTGATGCGGGATGTAGAATTGTATATATGGCCCTGAAAGGCAAAAAACTCCAATCTTTTAACAAGTATCAGTGACAATTTTACACATAATCATTTACCATCTAATTAATGTCTTCAACCATACTGAGAAGTAAAAATTGTAAGAAAACGCTGTAAAATTCTCATAGAAATCATCAGAAAAATTTTGACAAGCTGTAAGAGAACTGAACATTAGTGAGCTACAAAAGACTTTTAATGGAAACAGGACATCATAAAAGTTAAGTAAAAATATTGACTATCTTCATCAGACAAGAAGAAATCACATTACCCTCACTGTCCCACTATATCCAGAGCCGATTTTGTAAAGTCCATCTTTACATAAGAGATAGAGGAAAAAACCATCACTCTGAAGTAGGCACTGGTCATCTTCATCCACAGATATTTCTTTCAATGGCCATTTGTGCATCAAGGCTGCCTTCTTTATCCCATTACTGAACCAGTCCTGGATTTGGATTTTGCCCACCAGAACTGCCTGTACGCTCCGCTGAAGAGAATTTAAAATGGTTGGCACCTAAACAGTAAAACAAATAGTGAGTGAGTAAAACAAAAATGATTGTTTTTTAAATGTTGTATTTTTTGTTCTCTCTCCAACTCAAGAGCGACAAAGAAATACCTACTCTTTTCTCAAAAATAGTGAGGGGGAGAAAAAGTTAACTGAATTTACACAATAGATCTTCTCAAAACTCATGTACACATCATTTACATAAACTCCCAGATACAGAGAAGTTTTAGTGCAAGACCTGAATAGTCTGACAAGCATGGCTGCCATTATTGGTGAGGATAGCAGAGATTGCTTGCAACGTTCTTCCCGTCTCTCCCCAGGCAGCCACCAAACTGAAGAGGCAAGCGCAGGAAAGTGCTGTCAGGGACTGTCCCGTGCTGTCATTCATTCCTGTGCTACGGACAGTTATCTCCAGAAGAAGCTGGAACAGGGATTCTGCAGATAAAACACAGAAATTACGTGGGCAAATTGCAAAATCATACCAAGCAGTTTGCCAGTCAATGGGAAATTAAACATACAAAATACCTGATACATCTTTCCTCAGCCATTAAGTTCAGCCCTATTTCCAGACAGAAAAAAGAGCATCCCATTTAAACAGGCCTACAACATCCTTAACTTTTCATTCTTCAGCCAGAAAACACCAACTCTTGATAATCACAATGGCCAGAGAACAAGAAAAACTAAGTCCTTCTGTTACAGTGGAACATATTAATAAGAAACGGTCCAGAAGGAGTTACTTTACCTGCCTATTCAGTCTACCTCATCACTGAGATGATGTGTAGGTCTTGACCAACCTTGTCTAATCTTTATGACCATTACCCATGTTGAAGCACATCCCATTTCTCAGAAACGAGCTTTTCAAATCAAAGCTTGAAAATTATTTCGATTGTATGTCTCTTTTCAAGCACTGTTTAGCAGTTGAAAATCTGTAACAATCAAGGCGTGAACAGAAATCCACCTCAATTTTTTATAGTGTATAAAAATAATCACTAAGGCAGTAATCACAACAAAGCCTTCTTTGTAGCTTTTTAATACTCTGCGCATCAATACAAAATAAAAGCTTTCTGTAGCAAATTACTATCAACTTTGGAAATATAATACTGTTAAGCCATAAAAAGGAAAACATAAGGAAAGATAATTTATTTTTTTATTTCTGTAGCAAATTACTATCAACTTTGGAATATAAAACTGTTGAGCCATAAAAAGGAAAACATACAGTCTTAAGATAATTTTTTTTTATTTTTATTTTTAAACAACAGATACTACAGCCTAGCCTTCCTTGCAGTTATATAAACCATTAAAAACTATGAATTAACAAGAGATAATTGAATTTTAACTGAAAGGACGTAATCAATCATACTGAAAATTAAAGTTGAACTCCTGAATGTATCACATGAATTAACAAGAGATAATTGAATTTTAACAGAAAGGACATAATCAATCATACATTCAAAGCCATCAGGAGTTCAACTTTTATTTTCAGTATCATTAAATGCAAAATGAATTTTCAGGGAAACTTTTGGATGGCCAGAGGAAATAAAAGCAAGAACTCGGACACTTCATTTAGCAGCTTTATAGAAATTACAAAATTTTGAAAATTATTTCGATTGTATGTCTCTTTTCAAGCACTGTTTAGCAGTTGAAAATCTGTAACAATCAAGGCGTGAACAGAAATCCACCTCAATTTTTTATAGTGTATAAAAATAATCACTAAGGCAGTAATCACAACAAAGCCTTCTTTGTAGCTTTTTAATACTCTGCGCATCAATACAAAATAAAAGCTTTCTGTAGCAAATTACTATCAACTTTGGAATATAAAACTGTTGAGCCATAAAAAGGAAAACATACAGTCTTAAGATAATTTTTTTTTATTTTTATTTTTAAACAACAGATACTACAGCCTAGCCTTCCTTGCAGTTATATAAACCATTAAAAACTATGAATTAACAAGAGATAATTGAATTTTAACTGAAAGGACGTAATCAATCATACTGAAAATTAAAGTTGAACTCCTGAATGTATCACTAAATGCAAAATGAATTTTCAGGGAAACTTTTGGATGGCCAGAGGAAATAAAAGCAAGAACTCGGACACTTCATTTAGCAGCCTTATACAAATTACAAAATTAAATAGCTAAACTATAGATTTCAACAGCAGATCACAAGAGAAGTTCACTGTAGAACTACCTTCTTTCCAGTAAGACCAGGTATTCTATAGCTTCAGTAAGAAAATGAATGACAGATTGTAAGCTTTATTATGCTTCAATGAAACTTTGCATAACACAGCAACAAATTATGATATTTTTTGTAAATATATGTTCACTGTAGAACTACCTTCTTTCCAGTAAGTCCAGGTATTCTATAGCTTCAGTAAGACAAATCAATGACACATTGTAAGCTTTACTATGCTTCAATGAAACTTTGCATTACACAGCAACAAATTATGATATTTTTTTAAAATATATATATATGCCTTTACATGCCAACATTCCTGTTCTACGAAAGATTGATGCTGAAACAATACTGGTTACATACACCATAACGAGTTCACATTCCAGAATAAAGTCAGTCTGCTGAGAACAAGCGTGTTACTATCTCACAAATACTTGCTAGGAACCATCATCTTCTGTCCAATGCAGTAACAGATGTATATTAATACAAATATAGTAACAAATGAGATATTACCTAGGACTTCAGGAGGTTCTGATTGCAGGCCTTCTGGTTGCTGGCCCTGGAGCACATTAAGTAGGGCTTGTAGGCTCCTGAGACACAAGGATGGATGCGAAAATCTCGTCTCCTTTATCAGTTCAAAGACTTCACATAACCCAACTTCAATGATCTAAAGAAGTACAGATAGTTCAGATTATCTGTTAATATAATAATTTTGGGTCTTCACCAATAAAGGTATAAAAGAACAAGATAGTTATTTGAATAACAGAAACGTAGTACAGAATACAATGGTAATTCGAAAGAGAATCTGTTTTTTAAATGTTGTATTTTTTGTTCTCTCTCCAACTCAAGAGCGACAAAGAAATACCTACTCTTTTCTCAAAAATAGTGAGGGGGAGAAAAAGTTAACTGAATTTACACAATAGATCTTCTCAAAACTCATGTACACATCATTTACATAAACTCCCAGATACAGAGAAGTTTTAGTGCAAGACCTGAATAGTCTGACAAGCATGGCTGCCATTATTGGTGAGGATAGCAGAGATTGCTTGCAACGTTCTTCCCGTCTCTCCCCAGGCAGCCACCAAACTGAAGAGGCAAGCGCAGGAAAGTGCTGTCAGGGACTGTCCCGTGCTGTCATTCATTCCTGTGCTACGGACAGTTATCTCCAGAAGAAGCTGGAACAGGGATTCTGCAGATAAAACACAGAAATTACGTGGGCAAATTGCAAAATCATACCAAGCAGTTTGCCAGTCAATGGGAAATTAAACATACAAAATACCTGATACATCTTTCCTCAGCCATTAAGTTCAGCCCTATTTCCAGACAGAAAAAAGAGCATCCCATTTAAACAGGCCTACAACATCCTTAACTTTTCATTCTTCAGCCAGAAAACACCAACTCTTGATAATCACAATGGCCAGAGAACAAGAAAAACTAAGTCCTTCTGTTACAGTGGAACATATTAATAAGAAACGGTCCAGAAGGAGTTACTTTACCTGCCTATTCAGTCTACCTCATCACTGAGATGATGTGTAGGTCTTGACCAACCTTGTCTAATCTTTATGACCATTACCCATGTTGAAGCACATCCCATTTCTCAAAAACGAGCTTTTCAAATCAAAGCTTGAAAATTATTTCGATTGTATGTCTCTTTTCAAGCACTGTTTAGCAGTTGAAAATCTGTAACAATCAAGGCGTGAACAGAAATCCACCTCAATTTTTTATAGTGTATAAAAATAATCACTAAGGCAGTAATCACAACAAAGCCTTCTTTGTAGCTTTTTAATACTCTGCGCATCAATACAAAATAAAAGCTTTCTGTAGCAAATTACTATCAACTTTGGAATATAAAACTGTTGAGCCATAAAAAGGAAAACATACAGTCTTAAGATAATTTTTTTTTATTTTTATTTTTAAACAACAGATACTACAGCCTAGCCTTCCTTGCAGTTATATAAACCATTAAAAACTATGAATTAACAAGAGATAATTGAATTTTAACTGAAAGGACGTAATCAATCATACTGAAAATTAAAGTTGAACTCCTGAATGTATCACTAAATGCAAAATGAATTTTCAGGGAAACTTTTGGATGGCCAGAGGAAATAAAAGCAAGAACTCGGACACTTCATTTAGCAGCCTTATACAAATTACAAAATTAAATAGCTAAACTATAGATTTCAACAGCAGATCACAAGAGAAGTTCACTGTAGAACTACCTTCTTTCCAGTAAGTCCAGGTATTCTATAGCTTCAGTAAGACAAATCAATGACACATTGTAAGCTTTACTATGCTTCAATGAAACTTTGCATTACACAGCAACAAATTATGATATTTTTTTAAAATATATATATATGCCTTTACATGCCAACATTCCTGTTCTACGAAAGATTGATGCTGAAACAATACTGGTTACATACACCATAACGAGTTCACATTCCAGAATAAAGTCAGTCTGCTGAGAACAAGTGTGTTACTATCTCACAAATACTTGCTAGGAACCATCATCTTCTGTCCAATGCAGTAACAGATGTATATTAATACAAATATAGTAACAAATGAGATATTACCTAGGACTTCAGGAGGTTCTGATTGCAGGCCTTCTGGTTGCTGGCCCTGGAGCACATTAAGTAGGGCTTGTAGGCTCCTGAGACACAAGGATGGATGCGAAAATCTCGTCTCCTTTATCAGTTCAAAGACTTCACATAACCCAACTTCAATGATCTAAAGAAGTACAGATAGTTCAGATTATCTGTTAATATAATAATTTTGGGTCTTCACCAATAAAGGTATAAAAGAACAAGATAGTTATTTGAATAACAGAAACGTAGTACAGAATACAATGGTAATTCAAAAGAGAATCAGAATCAAGAACCCACCTACACAACTGTGCTAGCAAATATTACAGTATCTACATATATTACTACAGAAGTAGTATCATTATATTAAAGAGTGTTATCTAAGCAGCATAATAGTTCCCTGGAAATATAAGAAAATTTAAATTTTTTTGGACAGTGCAAGACAAAGTACATACAATGGTAATTCAAAAGAGAATCAGAATCAAGAACCCACCTACACAACTGTGCTAGCAAATATTACAGCATCTACATATATTACTACAGAAGTAGTATCATTATATTAAAGAGTGTTATCTAAGCAGCGTAATAGCTCCCTGGAAATATAAGAAAACTTAAATTTTTTTGGACAGTGCAAGACAAACTGTGCCTCTGAGCCCTTGTAATTTCTACTGGAGTTCACACTTCATTTGACAGACCTCTTTTTCACCTTTACTTGCTCATTAGTGTGAGCCAGCAAGCTAGAATTGGCTTGCAACCTGACTTCCCAACTTGAGTAATGATCCGTTGAACAGCTAATACTGGCAGCACAAGTACTTTTCCCTCCAAAGTCTCTGAGATTGCTCTTGTGACAATATTAAAACAAAGATAAAGATTAATTACTTGTCACTAAAACTCCATATGTACTCATCACAGACATGAATTATGCCAAGCAATATAACATCTGTAAGAGCGCTGTTACCAGCTACTCCTAACTCTCCCTTTTAGCATTCCTGAATATTCTGAGATTACAATTATGCTTCTCTTCACTGACTGTTCCCTGTCACTTCCTTCTCAAACTCACTATGTGACAATGAGGAGGAGGAAGGAAACATGAACAGGGTTAACTCATTACAAATAAGCAGCCAGATCTTCAAAACTTCACTATGTGCTACTGTTAGAAGCAGAGCCCCAATGTTTAGCGTGTTTAATACAGATTCACCCCTGAGTAAAATCTAAGGAAAAAGACTGCAATATGAAAATAAATAAAATTGTTAATGGAACTGCCACTCATGCTCAAAACAGGCCTGTTCTGACAGTCAGCTCTAAGTTCTACTGGATGCCTTTTAACTGTCTTTGCTGTCATTCAATTTATTTCAATTTCTGTCTTCCAGAAGTTTTTTTTTTTACAACCTGTTTGATTTTTTGGAGGAAGAACAGAAACATAACCAAATCAAGTCTTCAAAGTGCAAAAGCGTTTTTCCGGCGAATTGCACCTTACATTTCATATCTTCAGCGGAGTCAGGGAAAACACATGCATGGAATCTACAGGGGAAAAAAGCCTGTCAACAAAATAACAGCACAGATGGTTTTTCCAGGATTGAAAACTCAGTATCATCTTGCAGGCTACAATACGCTGTAGTAAATTTTCAGAAATAGTCTTTTTCAGTGACAGCATCTCTGGGAGAAACTGAGAAGTTTATTCTATTCTTCCAAGGAATCTTCAGACAGCAGCTGACAGGCAGCTGGAGAAAGCAGAGAACCTAACACAGTGGAGAAAACAATCTGGTGAACTTCCACTACAGTAGGAATCGACAATGGATACTTCCACTGCGATTTTGCCTGATCTGCCCAGGTTTTAGGTTGGATTTGGCTTAAGTTTGTTTTTTTTTTTTTTCACTGAGAGCAACAGACCGGGCAGGCTTCTTAAAACAGGTCTCTTCACCTTCAAACAAACAAATAACCATTCATATTATCCATGCATACATATATATAGATGCATAATGTGAGTATCTCTCTGCCTCTCAACTCCTCCAAACTGTGCACTGAAGGACAGAATAAGCAAAAGATCTTTTCAAGACATCTTAAGCTTCTTCTCATTCCTCTCTGAAGGGGCTCTGAGCCAAAACCAGCACTACTCCTGCAGTCTGTGTCATACTCACAGAGAGAGCTTGTATTGATGAGTATCTCTCTCTCCAAGCAGCCATCCTCTCACTCCCTTTGCAACACCTTTGAGACTTCGGATCAAAAAGCACAAACCAACCTTACAGAGGACACACAAAATTCTAACCTGGATACAGACATATTGACCCATAATTACTTCCTCAAAAAACCCTATTTCTTCAAGAAGTCTCATTTACACTATTGTTTTATTTCCTTTGTCTTCTCTCTCTCATAATTGCCCAATACGCACATTTCTATGTTTATCTAAGAATACATAATAATCTGTACACTTAATTCTCTACATTAATTTTTATGTGTATTATATGCATACAAAAAGAATACTTTACACAGGTCACATACCCTCCTAATAAATTTTAAAAGGCTTAAAATCAGTTTCTAAAGAGAGTATTTTTTTTTTTATTTTTTGCTACAACTTCAAAATTTTCAATTTTGTTTAAGCCCTTTACTTAAGCAGCAAAATGCATCCCACTGCAGAACAATGAATATTTAGTCAGTTAATTCCACCTTAATGCAGCATTTATTCCTTTAAAACAGGGCTTTTGTGGATCATCCATAACTCAGTGTTAATTTTAATATTGAGGGGGAAGCAACTGCAAATCAGATCAAATCAGTAGAGTTGAATCTGCCTTATTTCAAGCAGAAAGAATTCCCCATCATTGGCAAAGGCACTAAAGAAATAAGTCAAGCAAAGGCAAATATTTCATGTAAATCCAAAAATTTAAAGTTACTACAGCAAGTTACTAAACTGACCAAACAACCAAAATAAAATGTATTGTACTAATACATGAAGACCAGCAAATTGTGAATGTGTCTCTTTTAACATTTATTAAAAACAATTGTTCTCAACATTGTACTAATACATGAAGACCAGCAAATTGCATCTGTCTCTTTTAACATTTATTAAAAACAGCTGTTCTCAATCTTATTATAGACTTTCATGAATAGTTTGAAAGTGTACTGATTTTTAATTTTATATTTGCTGTATCAAATGTAACAAAATAGCTGATTTTCTGTTTTGAAAATGGAAAAGTAAAGCTTCCTACCTATGGTTTCTGTACCATTTTTTCTAAGCCACTGGCTTTTTTAAACCACACCACTTTTCCATGTCTTTTTTTGATTAAACTCTCTAACATCTTTACCACCACCAATGTTTTCGTTTCAACTTGCAAGTGTTCTGTCCATGTTGCTGGTAAATCTCATCCTTCTCTGAACCTCTTTTATTAACAAGATCTCTGTAAAACTCTATTGCGCTCTTTATAAATGCTAATAGCTACACTGCCTTTTACTTAACATTTCAAATTAAGCACCTACAAGCACTTGCTGATTCATTTAATTCACTCCTCACAAGGAGTCAGATGCAGTTCAAACAATGCTAACTTTATTCCTACTGACTGCACATTATTTCACAACTATCAACCGTGAAATTCAAGTTATCAAGTTGCAGTTACTTGACTTGGTTATGTTCCTCTACAATTCTTCACCGCTATTTCCAGAACACCAACTTTCTCTTCAGATAATACTAAACACAATCACCTATAAAATTCTAATTTTCTAAGTGACTAGAACATTCTACATAATCACTGCTGCAACACCCTTCTTAATTCAGTATTGTATTGTTTTTAGAGCAAACACAAACAAGGAAAGTTACTCTGAATACGCTTTTTAGACTCAGAAGAATAACAAAAGGAAGCAGGACTCATAATAAGATAGCTATGAACAAAACTAAATGCAGAGAAGTTACATGATAGAAAACAAGTGAATCAGCAAATTTTTAAAAATTAAAAAAGTCAGTAACTCCTATATAGATTATTTCTGACTTGCCACCGTTAATCCTGCTGCAAGTATAGAAGTAGTAAACAGTAAAAAAGCTACCCTAACTGTTGAATTATAGCATCCAAAACCTTAATGTGCATTATTAACTATCTACAGTTATCAGTGCCAAAAGATACTAAAGCCAAAAAAGGGGAAAGATTAAAAAACTAAGGTAGTAAGAATAATTGACAGTTACTGCAATTACACGTATACCTGGCAAATCATCTCAGAAAACACTCCACTAACTGAATTCCAATAGCAGAAAGATTTATTCTTCCTTGGCGGTAAAGGAAGAGAAAGCAGCCTTTATCATACCAGCTAGTAGCCTCTGACAGTATAAGAGCTGCCTTATTTGCATTTTGTGTAGACTTTTGAAGCTATAGATTATTTTCAAGTACCAGTACTTATAAAGGAGTACAAGTTGAATGTTTACCCAACACTTAATTGACTTTAATTATTGGGCAGGTACACAGATCTTCCTAATTCATCAAATCAGATGATTCTAGACTAGATGGACAACAAATAAAATTATAGCTATTTTCTGAGCAGCTGGTTTATATCGCTGTTCTTTATTCCCCATAAGGAATATACCATCTTTAGATCCCATACACGGCGCACTTTAAGCAGTATCCAGTTACTTGCCTTTGGAAGTTTAATAGGTGGTTCTTTGGATTCCTCCTCTTCATCGCTGTCCGAATCCCCGCTCTGTACACTGTTCTTTGAAGCCAGTGACACAGATGCTTCCTTTTTTTGCCACTCCAACACACAATGGCGGACATTGCAGTAAACATTAAAAGCTGAAGGGTTGCTATGTAATCTGATATCTGGTATGGTTATTGTACTCTCTAGGTTTTCAGTCTGAAAAACAAAATTAATTTAAGTTTATTAGAAGTTTCAAGCTTTGCTCAATACAAGTAATTTCAATAGTCTGAGTAAAATTGGCTAACCAAATCATCTTCAAACGGGAGACTGAAATTTCCTGTTGAAATATCACTTATATTTCAGGAAGGGGAGAAAGGAGGACAAGGGAGAAGTTCCAATATGTTCCATCTGGCTCTAGTCTCTACCTCTCCTAACTTGATGAGGTCTCTGGGATGGAAAATGAAAGCAGTGCAGGCTACTGTTGTACTGTTGTTCAAACCTGTGCCACAGCCAAAAGACTGGCAGAATTCAGGTTTTATCTTCTTTACAGAGGTCAGTATGTTTAGAGTTTTTAAATTATTATTATTATTGAATTTTAAAATGCAGTATTTCTTTTCTTAGTTCTTAACTTTATCGGTAAATAATAAAAGTTTAAGCTGTTTGCTAAATGTATATTAGAAATTAAAAATACCATTAGTTGTTTTGTCATTAAATGTAAACAGATGGCAAATTCAAAAACTCTCACGAGAGGATCTTGAGATAGTAATTTTGTATAACTAGAAAAGAATAAATGAACAAACTAATGAATTTTAAAAAAAAAAAAAAAAAAAGTCTATAAAGGCCTATGAAGTAACAGGACCCTATCTTGTTTTCAGAAGCCCTGAGCCACAAAGTAAGAGTTGGGAAAGGGTTCTGAGAAGCTACCACAACCCGTGCCCTACCCTACCGCTACCGTGCCCCACCCTTTCCTTGGTATCTACTGCTGGTACAGTGCTGTCAGACACTGCCAGGACATCAACCAGCTTTCACAAGGCTGCCATCAGACTTGGAAAAACGTTAAGAAAAAACATTTTTTGAAAAACATCTCATTCTGCCCCATACTCTCTCTTTTCTTCAACAGTAAGATGGGACAGGAGGAATGGTAGACTTAAAACAAACAAGACCCCACGACCACGTAAGAAAATATCTCCTCATAGTTTGCACACTACATGGAGTGGGCTGGTTTGAGCACAGGCTACAAAAAACTGGACTTCAGGCACATGGGAGGAAACCATTCCTTCTAACACCTCGGTGTAGACACAGGGCACAGACGCTACATAAGTAGAGATGGTCTAGGTTAAGAGTGCAGTGAATTTGCTTGAACACGCAAGGTGGAGGCTTTTTGTCTTTTTCTTTCTTTTTTCTTCCTTTTTATTTAGGGGGATAGATACTATGAATGAGCACATTCGATTGGCAGGAAAGTATACAGTGAGTTATATTACAGTGATTTGGAACAGTCAGAGTGGAAACACACAACTGAGAGCGGCGATGGGAAAGAGGGCTTGAATCTAGCAGAAAAGAGGGGAAAAGAAGTTTGAGAACCAGTGAACTGGATAATGTTTTAATGGGGTGATGAATTTTTCTACAATACGGTATCCCCAACTTTGCACATCAAAACACAGCAACAGTTGACATTTTTATCTGCATTTATGTTTTCATTATTATCAGAAATAACACAGGCTTCAAAATTAGACCATATAACACCGTATGTTCCAAAACTTAACAAAAAATTTAAAATAACACCAAAATATTTCATAGTTTGCACAGCTCCTTTTATTTTTGGCTATCACAGAATGACAGAATGATACAGGGTTGGAAGGGACCTCTGGAGAACATCTAGTCCAACCTCCCTGCCAAAGCAGGTCCACCTAGAGCAGGTTGCACAGGAACATGTCCAGGAGGGTTTTGAACGTCTCCAGAGACAGAGACTCCACCACCTCCATCTCTGGAGACATTACGTAGTATTAGGCTAGAGTATTATTCTAATGATACTGGTACATATTTTCATATTCTTCCTTGCAAAATCATTGAAAGCTAAAAAATTAAGAAGCAGTGGTTTACTTTGTAGCCTATTTCATCCTACACAGACAGCATGTCAACTTTTCTTACCTGTGTCAATGCCAACAGTAAGAACAAAAACAAAGATAATAGAGAATTATTTTTTTTTAAAGCTGGAAAAAGCTCCCTACGTACATACTGAAAGGTTGGTTTGTTTGTTTGGGTTTTTTTCCTTTTTTTTTGTTTTTTAGCACAACAGAAATTCTGCTGCTAGGGATTGAAAGACAACATGAGTATCTTTGAAACAGTAAAGCTGCTGTTGAAAACCCACAATATCAATCAATGCTAGAACACAAGACAACCTCCTGTGTTATTCTAGTATCAACCTGCATCAAAATAGATTTGGACTGACATCAATGATAATGAGCTACTACATACTTCAAACTGTATTTGGCACCAGAAAACTAAACGGTTATAACATATGACTCTTCTGTATGTCAAATATCCATACACATACCCCAAGAGTTTTTGCAGCTGCTGTTAAGGCAAACACACAATATCAGCTTTCAGCTTTAAAGCTAACTCAGTTGAACTACACAGGTTAAAAAGATTTATTCAGTAAGTTTACTATGCATTTCCTAACTTAGTGACAGTTACAGGAAGAGAAAAATGTCTGGATCCTCTGAAATATCTCTATCTGAAGATCACTTATCTAATTAGTATCACGTATTGTAATTATAACTTCTGTGAAGTTTCCATTCCAGCTCTTTTTTTGTCAGGAGTTCAGCTTAGTCTTTGCTCCAGAACAGCCCAAGTTCTGTAGCTCACGTCCTCTTTTGAAATAGGTTGGCCAAATTGTTTAACCAGCACAGATAATTTTAGACATTACAGTGCTAGATAAAATATCAATGTACACTTCCTTGCCTATTAATAATAAGCTGACTAATTTTCAGAAATAAACTCCTTCCTTATTCTCAATGCTTTACAACTATTAAAACATCCCTTACCTAATGCTTTAGCTTTAAAACAGTAAGCACTGCAACCATTTTATCTTTCTGTTCTACAACAGTACAACCGTGCCCAAACTAGTTAGAGACAATAATCTCCCACCCAGACTTCAATCCAGCGTAACATTCTCCAGAACTGAACAGTGTAGCACTAGAATATATGACTCAGAACTAGAGTTTAATTCCTAGATGTATGTTAACCCAGTTTACATTTCTTAGTTTGTACCTCCACTTTCCCTTCACAATACCTTATCTCTGGGAATTATAAATTCTTTGAAACTAAAAGCATCTTATATTCCATTGTTATACATGTGACAAATATAGTATCAATCCTAACAATGTCCCTTAAAAATAATTTTTAAATTCATCACCTGTTTTTTTCAGTTTAAAAACACTGCCCTGTACTAAATAAAGCCCTTTTTGAACAGTAAGTTGTTGGGTTGTAAGAACAGGTTAAAACTTAAAGATAATTATGACTTTCACTGTTTACTGATTTTCATTAGAGGGGGAAAACCCCTCAATGGAATTACCATTGAATGTATAAACATAGAAATGCTTAGCATGTCTCAAGGTAGAAGTAAGGTATGGAATGACAAGAGTTATTGTTTCTGGTTAGAGAGCAGGAAGGGAACTTCCGATCATCACATCAGTTTCTCTCTCTCTCCTCCCACAAACTTAGGTGAAAACCAATGACGATTTATTCGGGATCGATTTGCTCAAGTCTCTGAAGGGCTTTAACTATAGTATTTACAGTATCCATGTCTTCAAAACAAACATCTGTTCAGAAGTGGAGCTATATGAGCAGGTTGTATAAAAATCACTTTCTTAGATTTCTTTTACAAAAAGCAGAGATAGAGCTGATTTAAAAATATATAAATAAATAAAAGAGACGGGAAAACCACCTGCTCCTTTAATGCAAATGCTCATTCAATGAGCAGCTTTCCCCATCTTTTTTTTCTTTGTTAGTTTTCTTCAATGGTGGTACCAGGAAGCATTCAAAACAGACATCAAAAGTATTTTTCTGTATAAGGCAAGATTTTTTTCTTTCCAGATTACAACAGACTCCTAACTTCACTGAGGTCAGATGCACTGATTAAGTTAGGAAACTGGGAACTTAAGGTTCACATACCACCATCAACTGGAAGTTTCCTTTCCTGCAACTAATGAGAGCCATGGCATTGGGTCACTTTTCTACAGTCATACAAACTTCCCCAATAGTATGAGATTCGTGCTACCACCTCTATAATCTTGCCACCGGCTCACAGATTTTGAGGTAGAACCTATTGCTATGACAATCTAACCATTAACTGCACTTACAGAACACCACTTAGTAATTCTTATTATCTTAAAGTCTTATATCAAACTACTAAGTCTTTTTTAAGTTACAACAATTCTCTTAGTAACGCTGCATTTCATGTTAACACAAAATACTTGTATGTTGCCAAGGAAAACAGTGGAACTTGAGAGCCAAAATGGTAGTCAACTTCTAAGCATTCAGTGAAGCAACTTCTTCATTTTGCACATATCTAGGGTTGTTAATAATCCTGTTCTCTTGAGCTATGGGATATATTATTTCAAGAAAAAAATCTCACCCTAATAGCTTGTTTCCTTGGTGTTAAGTGTATCAAGACCCACAGACGTATGAAACATCTTTTCGTGGCACTGTGGGTAAGGTGAAGAGCAACAATCACTTTTTCTGCACCTCTAAATGTCCTGTTCTTGATGGCTACTGTGATATTGCAATGCAAAGCACTAAGTATAAGAATGACTAGAAGTCCAGCTTCTAGGATGTCTGAGTAGAAGACGAGATGATAGAGTCTACACTCATTTTTATTCCCAAAGCATTTGGTTTATTCGGTTTCTTGGAATATGAAATTGCTATCGCTTTCCAAAAAAGTGGACCTTCAAGACTGGAAAAACAGAATTATGCCTTTTGATTTAGTGTTTTTCACATGAGCTGTAAGAAAGTGGGACATTGTGAAGTCTTTATCTTTGTTGTTTCACTTGGTATCACCATAAATTGAAAATGCACCTTCTCAAATCAAGATACATGATGAAACATACATCTTAAAATTTAACAGATACCCAGTATTCATCACATCTTCTGTCTTGAGTGCTGGAAAAATTTATTTGTGCTAGAGAGAACATCTAAAATTAAATTTCAGTGCAAAGGAAGAGCAATTTTTATACATGATGTCATTCTTACAAGATGTGCAATACTAAACTTCAAAATGGAGATTCTCAAACTCAAACCATACAAGGTGAGGTAACAGTGATGAAAGGTCATTTCAGCAGTCAGAAAGATTAGGGTATCTTTTTCAGAGGAACAGATAGAAAAAAATGTGTAAAGGCAATAAACCTAATTAACCTCACAAAAGTTTTCTGTAGTTTAGGTAGACAAAACAGAAGCAGATGATGTTCTCCAAACAGTTAAGATAAAATTAGAAAAGCCCTTTTCTTGAAGTTTTCAAAGATACTGAAGAAAGAAGAATTCATTCCTCAACTACTGAATAATGAAATCTAAATGCAAGTCTGAGAAATTGCAATAACAATGTAAATAAGTAATCATAAACATAGCTTTAATACATGTACATAAGATTTTATTTCTTGGGTGTTAATTGTTTTTCTAAAAGGTAAGAGAGAGATGGAATGAAGTGAAGGTGTCCATACCCTGATGTGTGATTTGTCCACATAAAGATATAATCCTTGCTAAATGGAAGGATGCATTATGTACAGGTTTGGTTCATAAAATAGAGCAACCAGATTCACAAGAGCTCTTCTCAGCCTTTTGTAATGCTCCAGTAAACTCAAGGAAAGAAGCAGGAAAAACAAAACCTGGTCTCCTTTACAGTTGTCTCACACCTCAAACTGTTTTCCCAAAAGATGAAATCCATACATAGCTTATTTTCTGACCAATGTATTTCCTTCCTCTTGAACCAGATGACTGCAATAATGGTTTATTCTCAAATATGATGGAAATAGACTACAATCTAGGAGAGGAAAGTTAATCTGTTGTTAGATAGGTAACGCTATAATAACCATCTGATCTAACCTGTGCATAACACAAGAGCATAGAACCTCACCAAATTCTTTGAACAGTTCAAACATCTCTTAGAAAGTGATGCCCTCTTGAGGTTGAAACACCAAATAATACAAAAGCCACTGAAAACAATGCCAAATTACTTGAGAAGCTACACATGTTTTTAATGAGACAAGTATTTATCCCAGTTGATCCACCTTGTACATTTGATCATATGTTATGAGAACAGAAGATGAGGAACTCTGGCTTTCCATCCAGCCTCTCAGTTAAGTGTCCTAAGCAGCACTTTTATGAGTTACCAGTGGGAAAACTCTAGGGGGTGAAAAGGGGGGAGGGAGGGGAAGCAGCAATATTCATACAGCTGAGATAAGTTACATAGCCTACAATTTTCTAGTGAGTTGCCAAAAAAAAAAAAAAAAAAAAAAAGGGGGCGAGGCCAAAAAA